TCGAGATTTAGAGAGGTCACTGGGTCCAGATCGATGCATAGCATTACCAATGTTCCATGCATTTACTGGATGTGACACTGTGTCATCTTTTGGTGGCAGGGGCAAGAAGACGGCGTGGGATATATGGATGACGTTTGATGATGTCACTAGAGCCTTCTGTGCCTTGGCTGCCACCCCAGACTCCGTACACGACTGGATGGAGCCTCTGGAGCAATTTGTGGTATTGCTGTATGACCGCACTAACAGCCAGGAGTCAGTCAATCAGGCACGCAAGCAGCTCTTCACCCAGAAAGGTAGAACAATGGAAGGATTCCCCCAAACACAAGCAGCATCGATTCAGCACAAAGAGAGCTGCTTTCCAAGCTGGCCACTGCTGGGGACAGATGATGTTTGCAGTCCCTGAACTCCCATCCCCAGATGACTGGGGGTGGAAGAGGAAGGCCACAGGTGGATGGGAAGTTTACTGGACCACATTACCAGGCTTATTGTGAACTCCTCCGCTGTGGATGCAAAAAGGGGTGCAGTGGACAATGCAAATGTGTCAAGGCAGCAATTCAGTGCAGTGCCATTTGCCACTGTGGTGGACTGTGTTTTCAGAACTAAGTCTGCATTTAGTTGAAAACCTGTAATATTTCATATATATTATGTAACATGTATGACTTCACCATAATAAATATGTTAATGGTTTACTGTATATTTTATTCCCTGAATACCAGATACATATAGTTAACTACATTCTATCATGTTGTAAATAGTACCAATGCATTCCCCATCCTTGAAAATGTAGGATTAGCCACCAGAATCAAGATCCTAGGTGGTCTAGATCCTAAACTACTGGTAAAATAACAACCAATGGCGGCCATTTTGAAAATGGCCGCCATTGGCGCCATTGGACAAATTTGCGATGGCCCTATAGCCAAAAATCTTCCTTAGAGCATGCTCAAACAGTGTGACAAATGTCATGCTTTTATCATCAAAAGCACAATTCTTTCAGATATTTCACATATCTGCTGGACTATTGAGGAAGTTAACTTAGCTTAGTCATTTAAATTGGCAAAAGTTCTTACAAAGAAAAAGAAGACATTTTCAACCTGAATTTGTTGCCGTAATGGAACGATACATAGATAATTATGCATATTTGACTGCTGAAGTTACACCCTGGAAGTTCGGAGTTTCCTGTCCATGCTGTCTGCACACGGCTCTCCTCCCCTGGGAACCACAGACCACCGCTTCACTTCAACAAGCTAAGTAATTGCTTTTTTTGCTAATTATATTTTGTCAGTTGATGTCCAGGCTGTATTAGGTTGGGTTTGTGTGCTGTATCAGATCTTCCTTTTCAATATATTGGCGTTTTCCAGCTGTGATCTGTTTGTATGCTGCTGCTTCTGTTGGTTCACATTCATATTAATTATGAAAACGCCTTCTTTCTAGGGGCTAAGCTCGTTGGTGGTCGTTTGCCAGGTGCAATGTGATGTTTTCATGCTGTTTGTTTACATAGTGGGAATGAACATCCACATTGAAATGACTTTACATATCCCATTTATGAGGTCATCACCATTGTTTTGAAGGATTAGTTGCACGCTTGGCTCTCTGGTAGAGGTTAATATTATGCAGTATTGGTTTATAGATGATGTAAGCACGATTATTGTCTTGCACACAGCAAATTATTTCCATTTAATAGTGGCATCCTCGCAATCCACATGCATAGCAGAGGAAATCATGTTTATAATATCACCACACAGCTTAATATTACAGAGAACTTGAAGCGATACACATTGCTTTACAATTCTGCATATCAGAATTAGATTTAAAATATTGAGGTGCTATTATTTTTGCTGCTGCTGCGACATTAAACCAAACTGATCTAGATATGTTGTTACCATCTCCTTATTATGCTACATAACGTCATGTCGAATATTTGTGAGTTTTTTTAATCTTCTGCATAGTTTATGTGTCTTCACTGCAGCAAATTAGGTTGATTGCTGGGGCCATCTGAAATAGAGCAGTGGTTCGTTTTGTCAAGCTCCAAGTAGATTGGGTGCGAAATAAGATTTGAGTGGAAAGGCACTGCAGAGTGAATTGTGGTGGGGAGAGCCTATCAACTCTACAAGTATTATATATATAATTAAATATGTTCCATGTGAGGTGGCTGAAAAGTTGTGGGTCATGAGGGTAATGATTGAAGCAATTCGGAAGAGCAAATGTCTACTTTGGTAGGAAACTGCAAAGATTATTTGACAAGTTGCCAGCTAGTTTGATGATCATTTAAGCCTACAATTGCAGGACAAAACAAGACCTTCAAAGACGCCCTCTTGGGCTTTGAGAAACACTGACTGACCTTTTTTCACATTTTCTGACATTTGAATGATTCGAGAAAACAATTGATAACTGAAGCCCTAGAATAATCTACTATGTGATTGTTCATATTTTATACATTTCTTGGCTTTGGCTTGCTTTGTGCAACTTTTTCAATGTTACTGCATTGTGCTGTTGATGGACCTTCTTGAGTCAGATAACGATAGAAGAAAAAGGTTTTAATGATGTAAGGGTTAATGAAAACGCAAACGTGTTTATAGTGCATTTTAATCTAGTCGTTAATAAAGAGCATAACCACATCCCAACAGGACCAATTGCTGTAGCATTTATTGTTAAGAAGACATTGATTTCCCTTATCTATACATTTTATTTTAATATTATCTTCTAAATTACTTTACTTATGTATCTGTTTTATTTAGTTAGTTATTTAATTTACTAGCTAGGACCGGGAGGGGGGGAAAGGGGAAAAAAATAAAATAAATATTGACTGTATAAATGTAAACTCATTGTGCCTGACTCAATTTAAAAAAAAATAATAATAAAAAGACATTGATGAGAAGTGATATAGTGGACATAATATATTGTACTGTATGTGTAGTTGTCAGTTGTCTCACCACTGACTCCGGTTTACAGCTGCTTTAGTGCCTTCTATAGGAATGAAAAGATTATAGGCTGAGTATATATTTAATGCCCATCCACCCTGTACTTCTTCATTCTACGCTTTCTTGCTGTTTCCTTTCATGTTTTATGCTTCAGCGGCCCACGAGGAATCAGTGAAGTCGTATCTAATGAACAGACCATTAAAATGTGGTCTTGACAGGTTGAGCCTGGGAGAAGTGTAGCAGGTATTCACACACGAACACAGAGATCTCTAGATTTGTATTTTTAGCATCACTGAGGTTGGATGGTTAGAGGGATAATCATGGATACTAGGAAGGTTTCCAAATGTCCCAGTGTTTTTTTCACTCGTCTCCTTGCATGCTTAAGTCATGTTTAGCTGCAGGTACTCGTGTTGCAATCAGGGGCTTTTACGCTGAGCTGCCATGTGACCCCTCATGCAGCAGAGGGAAGTGGAAGGCTGATGACAGCGTCCACAACACCCCAATCAGCTCCTTCATATTAGTATTCCTGTATATGGCCTGTGTTATTTTCACCAGCTGCCCACCACATATCTGAGTCGACGTGTGCATTTCAATGTTGTCCACTCGAGTTGTCTTGAGCCATTAGCATCGAGACGGCTGCTTTCACACAACATTAAGCCAAATTCAGAAAACATCACATTTGCAGCGATCATCAGAATTAGTTATGTCTGATTCTCTGATGGGAGGTTGTGAAATATTAAAGAGGAGATTAACTTGGCCTGTAATCATAATAACACTAATACAGAATCACTCAAGCTTGAACTCTACATTAAGTAGAATGACAGGAAGAGAGCAAGGAAGGAAAGATGAAATGCAATTTTACACCACATGCCCCTAGCAAAAATTAATTAAGTACCTTCATACCTACTGTTCCCATTTACCTTTTCATCAAAAATGCCTGAGGTTGTTTGAGTCTGACAAAATGGATCAGAACAAAAGTATTTTACATTACAGCTTTGTCAATCAAATTTGTAAAATTAATCTGCAAGCAGCAGCGATTTTTCAGAAATGCTGGAACTCATTTAGGGATTTTAAATATTCAGTTACAGCAAAGAGGAAAACTCCTGCATAATCTTTTGGACTATACAGGCAAATAAAGTGAATATTTTGTCATTTGTTGAGAACATACGAAAAAAATACAGGCTTTGAAGCACTCTGCAATGTTGTTCACTAATCACAAGCAGGGAAAACTCAAGTGACTCCCTTTCAGAAGTCCTCCTACTGAGCACTCTCAAAATTAGATAAAAAAACATTAGGAAGTTAAAACGGCATTATGTGAGCTGTTGCAGAACCAAAC